CACCACGGCCCGTCTGCCTTCTTGCTGTCGACCACGGAGGTTTGGAGACTCGAGAAAAAAAAATCTCGATTGGATCCCACTACCCAATTCCGGCATGGGAACACCTTCAGCCGCCGTCAATCACGTACTCTAGCTGCCCACGATGCAGTCTGCAAAGATGGCCCCCGGCGCCGAGAAGCCCGTTCTTACGGCCGAGGAGAAGAGCGCGAAAACGGCAAAGAGCTCGACGAGATACCCATTTTGGTTCGGTGGCAGCGCCAGCAGTATGGCAGCCTGCGTGACACATCCCCTGGATCTCGGTGCGTTTCTATCGCCCCTCCCCTTCCCCCTCGGCGCCGTGGCCGCTGCCATGGCCGTGGTCGTCGCCATCACGCCGTCCTCTCTCGCGAAATCCGCCAGCTAACCGTGTCTCAGTCAAGGTATGCGACAACACGATCTTTACCCCTCCATCATGACGACCCCTTGCCCGACGACGTCTCTCCCTTCTCCCCAAGCTAACCAGACAAACCAGGTTCGCCTGCAAGTCCGCCGGCCCGATGCCCCCAAAAACATGTCCGGCACCGTCCTCCACATCCTCAAGTCCGACGGCCCCGCCGGCCTCTACGCCGGCCTCTCGGCCTCGCTGCTGCGCCAGATGACCTACTCGACCGTCCGCTTCGGCGTCTACGAGGAGCTCAAGACGCGCGCCATGCGCCGCGCCCCCAACAACAAGCAGCCCTCGTTCCCCGTCCTCACGGCCATGGCCTCCCTGGCCGGCTTCATCGGCGGCGTCTCCGGCAACGCCGCCGACGTCCTCAACGTCCGCATGCAGCAGGACGCCGCCCTGCCGCACGCCGAGCGCCGCAACTACCGCCACGCCCTCGACGGCCTGCTGCGCATGGCCCGCGACGAGGGGCCCCTGAGCTGGTTCCGCGGCGTCCTGCCCAACAGCATGCGCGCCGCCGCCATGACCGCCTCGCAGCTCGCCAGCTACGACACCTTCAAGGGCCTGCTGCTGCGCAACACGCCCCTGCAGGACGACCTGACCACCCACTTCACCGCCTCGCTGCTCGCCGGCATGATGGCCGCCACCGTCACGAGCCCCGTCGACGTCATCAAGACGCGCGTCATGACCGCCACGACCCAAGAGGGCCTCGTCAAGACCCTCAAGACCATCTACCGCAACGAGGGGCTCGGCTGGATGTTCAAGGGCTGGCTGCCCAGCTTTCTGCGCCTCGGACCGTGAGCTCCCCCCCCCCCTTCTCTTCCTGCTTTAGGGAAAAAAAGAAAGAAGGAAGAGGCATTGCTTCTTACTGACGAACATCCAGACAAACTATTTGCACCTTTGTCTTCTTGGAGATGCACCGCAAGCTATATAGGAAGGTCGCCGGCTTGGATGAAGATAGACTAAAGGCATAGACGGGAACGAACACAGACGCGCACATACACGCAACATGGGGCGGGCACATGTTTATTTTGCATAGTAGACTGGCGTTGAAGGGGGAGGGGCAGCGGCTGCCAGGCAGATGGGCATGCATGTCGCTTGCGCGATATCTGATGCGAGGCGTTTCGGGTACGGAAAAACAACACAGGTCGAATTTGGTGTATTACAAGTCTTTTTTCGCATGTATATTTGTTCCTTGTTCAAACTTCGTCGGTCCGTCAACGTGCTTGAACGACCGTCTTTCGTAGTCCGCTTGCCCGCCCATCTTCTCTTCCTCTGCTCTCTCCATCTCTCTCTGTCTGTCTGTACAGACGCCGAGCACAGCACAACGCCTCACACGATGAACGGGCCAAAAGATGGCACGGTAGCAGATTTTGGCCGATCTGCTGCTGCTGCTGCTGCTGCTCAGCGACACCACTTTCTCTAATGCAAGCCCTTTTGTTGGTGTCCGCAGATTTGGTATACACAAGGCTGAGCCACGCGTAGGCTCAGCCACCCGAAAGAACGCCTACCGGCCAGCCTCATTCCCAGTCTGGACCACCCATTTGTATCCCAACGCCCCTCCCCCTCCCTCCCCCTCTACCTCTCCCTCCTCAGTTCCAGCCGCCCGACTGGCCCGACGCGCCGTAGGGCGTCGCGTTGTTGTACGGCGTCGTCGCCGAGCCGCCGCCGCCCCACGCCGTCTGGTTGCCGCCGTTGTACGGCGTCGTGTAGCCCTGGTCGTTCCAGCCCTGACCGTCCATGTTCATGTCCGGGCTCCGCGGGCCGTCAAAGTCGCCACCGTCCATGCCGCCGCCCTCGGCCTCGCCCGTCAGCGTGTGCAGCATGAGGGCCAGCTTCTCCTGCATGATCTTGATGCCCTCCTGGATGATCTGGTCCGGGTCGAGACTGCCGACCGTCTCGACGTCAAAGTAGAAGCGGCCGGGCTTGGCGTCAAAGTCAAACGGCTCACCCTCTTGGGGCGGGTCCTCCTGGTCGGCGTTCCTGCTCTTGGGCCTGAAGGGGGGGGAGAGCGGTCAGCATGTGAGCGCCTCGCAATGTCTTCGAGGTCTGCGAGGAAGTGGAAAAGGGGGGGAGGAAGGCGGTCTCACCATTCTGTCGCAGCGTCCGTCTCGTACCACAGGTCAATGTGGTGCAGCTTGTTGTGGGGGTCGTACTCGAAGCCGACGGCAGACGTGGGCATCCATTTCGCGTGCTCCTTGGCGATGCCCTTCTTCGCGATGCACGTCACCTTGAGCTCCTGGCCCCTTCGCAGCTTGGCGATGAGCGAGCCGAGGCCATCGGGGTCGGTGATGACGGGGTTGCCGACCGTGTTGTTCTGACGGAAGCTGTCGACGACGAGGTCGCTGGCGTAGACCTTCATGATATCGTCCGACGTGCAGCGGGCGTGCAGGGTCAGCTTGACGCTGCAGTTGTCGCAGTACTGCTCGCAGTCGCAGTCACGCGAGTAGTGCAGGCTCGCGGCCTCCTTGGAGTGCAGGGGGATGAGACCGAGTCGGTGTGCGATGAACTCGTCGGCGAGGACGGATGTGTTGGCTTCAATCTCGACGAGATCAATGGCGACAATGGGGACTTCGGCTTGGATGACGCGACGGAGCGAGTTGGCGAAGGAGAGGTGGCAGTTGGAGAGGTTGAAAACGACGCGGTCGGCCTCGGTCTGGTGCGCAACTGAATCAGTACGAGAGCAGCAATGCAGCGCGCGAACAGAACTGCCGGGAAGGGGGGGGGACCTACGTTGGAGATCTTGACAGAGGGACCGCCGACCTCATTGTCGAGCAGCATGGGTTCGTAGTCCATCTTTGCCTGCTCCTGCCGGTCGCGTGTGAATGAGTGACGGTGTCTGCCGGAGGGGGGAGATCGCGAGGCTGAAGAGGTGGAGAGGGAACGTCAGCAATTCGATGAGTTTTGCATTCGGGTGAAGCGCCGTCCTCGCCTGTCGCCTTTGTCGATTTGTTGCGGGACGGTTGTGGTGTTGAGGTCGGATCTCGACGAGGGACCATTATTTTCGTGATTAGATAAGCTGGCACTGGCAAACTGCTCCCACTCCTTGTATATTGCCTGAACAAACCTCCTCCCTGACACACTTTCGACTCCCATGTCCATCAACTCCAGTCTTCATACAGCCCATCATGAAGCCATTCGACGCAGCTTTCTCTTTCATAAGTTTGATCTGGTTTTCTGAGGCGACGCATTCAAACGGCGGATGACCCCGTTTCCCAACATCCTTCGGTTCGGTTCACGAGCTCAGACAGTCGCCCTCGATCTGGACCCTACGTGTGCACTCCTCACTCTTTCGTGGTTTCTCTCTTGTCGGATCCGGGATCGACACATCTGGAAAGACACGGTCCTTTCCAAGCAGCGAATTCATCGCGATTCTTCTTTTCATCTTCTTCTGACACTACCAGCTGTCTTTTTAGGCACCCCGCTGAGCCTGTTGGACCATTTCACCAACTCTTCATGTATAGTCCTCAGTCGTGGCTCGATCACTGCGTCGAATTCCTGACGACCGTGTTCACCTCGTACCTCAGACAGCCTAATCCTGAGGTCCAGTTCAATGACCTTGAGGCCTATGGTATTTGTTAGGTTTATGCAGCAAGAAGTCTCGGGGAGGGTTGTCTGACCTTTCAGGGCCCCTTCGTCCATTTCCATGCATGCCTTGTCCGTCTCGATCAAAGATTGAACTTGAGCAGCAATCTCGACACAGAGTCCCGCTGGACCCGTCGTTGGTGTTTTGCTCCACACCTTCAGTTTCTTCTTGCGAGCGCCGAATATCACAAGCATTTTGCGCACCGACTCGCCCATGTTCGTGAGCATTTGGGGCGCAGTGTCATTGTCGGATACTTGCGAACCCTGTGATAAGCGTGATCGATTTGAGTCGCAGGATGAGGGTCGTCCTTCAAGCCGGTGTGAATCTTCGGGACTGGGATTGTGAGTATTGCTTTGTGCCCCGCCATCCCTCAAGCCTGAAGCCTCCCCCTTCGAGGAACCTCTTCTCAGAGCCTTGGAAATGAGGGCCGTCCGCCCTCGCTTTTCGTTCTGGGTGCCTCCCGACCTGCAGTTCCCAGCCCCATCGTTTCCACGTGAGGACCGGGTCATGCTGGCAAAGGGACTGTGGCAGCAACTGGTGAAGGCGCGTCAACAGCAGGGTGGACCAGCGCCAGAAGGCGGAAAAGAGTCTGGAGAATGCGAAAGGGTTGGTTTCTGCCCGCAAGCTACAGCGGAACGACAACATTATTTCCTCTTTACGCACTTCACCCCTCTCCACGAGGCTCTCTCATGCCCGTACCACCCCGATGGCCAGCCTTATCTGACCAGCCGCCCAGAAGGAGGTGGGCAAGCAACGAGCCTGATCCGCGAAAGGTGGTTACACGGACGGCCTCGCCAGCTGAGCCGCCCATCTCGCGCCAACCAGCAGCGAACAAGTCTGATGCGGACGACTCCTCCCTAAAGGTTGCATGCTGCAATGCAGCCATTTCGGAACACTGCCACAACGCAAATCATTAAGACTGCCTCATCCCACCGGACACGAAAACACCCTGCACATCCGAAGCCTCTCCCTTCCGCACAGCCTGGCACGATGACGGATCCAGAGAGTCTGAAGAAATACGTCGACAGTTCACTCCGTGAAGAGGAGGACTTTCATTTCCTCCGATTCGAATATCTCCAACGCCTGAACTTGACCAACTTTTACATCACACTCGCCCACCAGAAGAGCAGGCTGAAGAAAGAAGGGTTGCGCTCCGAGGAAGACGGCGTGAAACTCCAAAAGCTCCTCCGGGACTATGGTGCGCTCTGCTCTGACGTCCTCCAGACACGCTTCTTCTGACCGCGCGAGGAAAATAATTGCTGACCAATGAGTGAATACGCAGCAACTGCGATCCGTGACTATCGGTACCTCCACTCGAGCAAGGCCGTGCCCGTGACCAAGAGCGGCGAGCGAAAGGCCCTACTCGAGGCCTCCTTGCGGTTCGAGGACGGGTTTCCCCATTCTTTCGCCAGCCATTACCACTTCTTCGAGGACGAGACGGCACAGATCGACCCCCTGCGCCGGTCCCTCATGGCCTCGCTGCCAAAGGTCCTGACCTTCTCGAGTGAGGAAAAGGGCCGGCGCGCGAGAGAATATCATGACGGGGACCCTCCGCATCAGGTCTCGACGTTCGTCGACCGTCTGGCTCGGTTCCTCATCGCGCTGACGGGCGGCGGCTTCCTCATCGGACCCATGATCATCATGGCACTGGGGCCCTCGCTACACAAGAGTCTCATCACCGTGTCCGTTGCGCTGGTGCTGTTCTCGCTGGTCCTCTCCTTTGGTATTCGGGTCTCCAACATCGAGACGCTGGTCGCGACGGCGACGTACGCTGCCGTCCTGGTGGTGTTCGTCGGCACGAGCTCCGCAGATGGCGGCAGCTGAGTCTATGTTAGGGGTATGAAATGATAGTCTGTTTCCTACGTATCAATGTCAAGTTGGAATCTCTGCAGACAGACTGCACTTCCTGTTACTTCGCCACTAAACATCTGATCACATATTTGCGGAACACTCTTAGTTGAACATTATTGATATTAGTTTGCCGCAACGCCATGCCGTCAAGTATACTAATCTACGAAAGGTTTATACACATTGAATGTAGAAAAAGGGAAATGAAGTTAAGCACCGCCAACAGTCTGGCCCAGGTTCAGGGTGACGGGCGATCCGTTGAGAGTGACCCACTGGATGGGCGGCTCGCTGCCGACCTTGTCGGCCTTGACGGCGCCGGAGCTCGTGACGGTGCCAGCAGGGATGGTGACGGGCACGGGCACGCTGCACGAGTTGCCCTTGGCCGAGACGGTGACGGACGAGATGGTCGTGCCGTTGCTGTAGCTGTACGAGAGCTTCGGCTCGCACTGATCGAGGGCCATCCTGTCGGAGAAGCTCTTGCCGATGTCGTCGTGCTTCAGCGACGTGATGGGCCAGTTGGTCAGACGGCCCATCTCCTGTGTGATCGTCTCGACCCAGGACATAATCAGCGACAGTTTGCCCGTCTGCGAGCCGACCGTGATGGACGGCATGTCAACCTGGCGCATATTGGCCTGGTGGAACATGTAAGGGTCGGCGTGCAGGCCGAGAAGGTGACGGGTGTTCTCAGCGCGTGCGTTATCGAGCAGGCTGTTAAAGTCGCCCTTGCCAGCCGACGTCTCAATCCACTCGCGGGTCGTGCACTCAGCCGTATCACAGTTAAAGTAGATGGTCGTCGCGTACCGCGGGATGATAAGGAGACCATCGTAGCCATTATCGGCCACGTTGGAAATGAGAGGCCAGTACTCGTTCTTGGCACGGAGAGGAGGGCGGGTGTTGTCTCCGACAACATTGGTGATACCGTTGGTCATCCAGGCGCGAATGGCATCACCGTTGTGCATACCCGTAATCGCGGGAGGAACCAGGCCGTTGGGCGAGAACTTGGTCGCCTTGTCGATGCCCATCTGTGTCATCCAAGCCTGGTTGAACTGAATCTCGCGCTCAGTATCCTTATAGGTAGCGTTGTTGAGGCCCATGTGGGTGAAGGTATGGGACAGGTGGGCGAAGGCGTTGAGCTTAGACGTGTCGAGGAACCAGCTGGCAAACTCGTCACGCTGAGCGCAGGTCTTGGACCATCCGTACTTGGTGAATTCGGTGCCCCAGATATCCTGACCAGTGCCCAAGGGCTTCTGGAATTCCAGAGGAGTGTCAATCTGCTCGGGGTAGTCAACGGCGTAGTTGGGGTTGCAAACGCCGTCCTGGGGCCTGTTATCCGCAGTGGCCGAGATGATATCGCCGTTGCCGTTGTGCGCAAGCTCGAGCCAGAACTCAGAACCGGCAGCCAGACGGCTGTTGATATCACGCTGCCAGGTGATGTGGGCATCCAGGTCTCCTGTGCGGATCTTGAAGACAGTACCGGCAGGGTAGTAGAGATCGGTCTCGAGCTGCAAGTCATCGACCTGCGCAGAGAGATGAACCTTGCGCTTGCCGAGGAACAGGCCACGCGTCATCCAGTGAATGTGAGAGTGCTGAAGGTAGTTGGACGTCGCAGACCACTCGGGAGCCCAGCTGGTGAACCAGACGAATTGCTCACGGCCATCAAAGTTGTTGATGACGGCAGCAGCGCCCTCAACGACGCCAGGACCGCCAGCAAACTTGGCAACCTGCTTGGTGGTCTTACTGTCGGTGATGGTGGCGGGGTAATGGTACAAACCCTGGCTGCTGACGCCGGCGTTGACCTTGAGGTTGGCAGTGGGGAAATCGGAGACGTCCGTGAAGCTGATGAGCTGCTCGACGCCGGCGCCACAGCAGCCCTCGCCGGCTGCGGCGCCGAAGAGGGGACCGGGGTACTCGTTGATGCGGACCATACGGACGCCAAAGGCGAGCTGGTACTTGTGGATAGCATCCCACTGCTCGGTGGTCACAGCAGAGCGCCATCCGTCCGTGTACTCGTACGCAATGGCATCGACAATGATGATGGCACCAAAGTTGCCCTTGGAGCCGGAGAACAGCTCGGGCAGAGGAGCACCGGCCTGGGGAATGGCCAGGCCCTGGAAGGGGATACCATAGCCCTTGAGGCCGGCGCTGCCGGCGGCGATGCCGGTATCGTCACGGGCCAGAATGAGAACGGTGCTGTCACAGCTAGAGGCGCTGGGCAGAGCAGTGCCAGCGGTGCCGGTCGAGGTGGTGGTGGCGGTGCTGGTGGCGGTGGCAGCGGCCGTGGTGGTGACGACGGTCGCAGGGACCGAAGTAGAAGTGGTGGTGCGGACACCGATAGGGGATGTGGTCGTGGTGACGGCAGGGACCACGGGTCTGGTGGACGTGGTCGTGGCAGCAGCAGGCCTCGAAGTCGTGGTGGTCGTGGTGGGCTTGCAGATCTTAAAGATCCTGCAGTTGATGGTGTCAATGATGTTGTTGATAACGACGCTGATCTGCCTCGACTCGAGCTCGTTGCCACAGTCGCCGGTGACGAGGCAGTGAGGCGCCGGTGCCGGAGAGGCAGCCGCCAGGCCCACCAAGGCCGCGAGGACAAAGCTGGAGCGCATGGTGTTCTGGGGGGGTATTGATCCTCGGAGGATCGAAAGGCTCAAGCTTCAAGCGAGTGAGTGAACGAAGAGACTTGGAACAGCCAACGAAAGTAAAGGAAGACTTATAAAAGTCAACCAGGAAACGAATGATACCGCGAGAGGCCGATGAGAGACAAGGGAGCAGAAGGCCGGGATACCAGGCAAGGTGACGAGACTTATATACCACACCGTGGCCAGCTGTCGATCGAGTCTGGGGAAGCCCGACAGGGCACAGCAGGTCTGTTTCCCAGGTCCGGCTGACTTCAGAAACAACGGACAAAGAAAGGAGCGTGCGTCCACGTTGCCGTGGTCCGCGATGGCCCACGCTGGACCCCCTTCGTGGAGGAGATTTTGGGGGTCTAAACATAGGATGGTGTGCCGAGCTAGAGACGGCTTGATGCTCTACCCGGTATGCAGGTACAGGCAGGCCAAGGCTCGGGACCAGGAGCTGCTCAGGCGGCAAAATTCTACGAAGGCGGGCCATGGTGGGTGAACATGGGGATGCCAGGGATTCCGGTGACGACTTGCAGTCCGGCGGTGGTGCGAGGTTTCCCTTCGCCAGGGGATCCTTTTTCCTCGAGCTCGCAGCGATAGACGTGATGCTAGCGTTCAAGCTATACCGATCTGGACGCACATGGGCACCGGTGCTGCTCACACAGACCCCCCCTGAATTCCATACAGGCGAGAGGCGCCACGACGGACGACGCTGGTCCTTGGCAGGCCTTGGCAGCGGTCGCGATTCCTGGGTCCAGGGTTTCCAGCCAGGCCCAGTCAAGTCCAGTCAGGAACAAATATCGAGACGGCTTGCGGTGGCCCTACGTTGGCGCGGGAAAGGTGGGATCAGATGAGCACATCAATGCCATTCCTGGCCAAGTGCCGTCTGATGCAGTCGATGCGGTCGGACCCAGGCGGAGGGGCCAGGGCTCAGCGATTACCAGAAACGGCGAGTCTCACGCGAAGGGTAGCCCTGGGTGGGTAGAACCGTTGTTTGGTCTAGCGGCCGGATCGCCACGCCTGAGAGATCCATCCATTGTTGCGGATGTTTCTGTCGGGGGACTCAGTCCAGTCGACCGGGGCTTTGTCTGGCCATCAAGTGCGATGTTGTTTTGGGAGTTCGCAGCGGGTTTCGCAGCGGGTTTGACTCCCATGTGGATTGAAGCTCCCATACGATTTGGGCGGGAAAAGCGTTGGCCAGACAGACGGGCGAGACCCTCGTGGCGTGTCGTTCCAGTGCCACGAGCTTTGATCACCAGTCTGTCCATCATCAGTCAGTCAGTCAGTCAGAAGACTTGAGACGAAAGAGGCGCAGACAGACAAGAGAGGATCGAGCACCGGGGATGGCCCTGTCAGTGGGCTGAGAAGGCCAGTGAGAAGAAAAAAAAATCCGAATTTCTGGGGGGTCCGCTCAACGTCAAGGTGGGTTGCGTGGTGACGATGCGTGCGTCTGATGTTGTTTGGCCTCTGGTCTGGTTGTTCATTCGCCATTGAAGTGGAAGCAGCTCCAAGCGTCAGGCAGGCTGAGCCCGAAGCCTGAAACAAAATTGGCGATTGGTGGGTGGTTCGCGTCTGATGGAGGTCGGTCGGGTTTTCTCCGATGGTCCCTCCTCCTGAGTCAGCAGAGGCGTCTGCTTGGACGTTTGGACATTGGGCGTTGGAACGTTGGGGTGAAGAAGGTGCCGCTGAAGCCACTGAAGCCGCTGTGGTTCCTCCACCGTTTACCACCTTCAGCGGGCGCCAGGTACTAAAGAAGCAAATACGAGCCAGCCCACCTTCCCCCCCCCCCCTCTCTTCCCCCCGGACCCCTGGCCCCTGGCCCCTGGATCGAATACCTCCTTAGATCCTAGCCTGCATGATGTGCCTTGCATCTACTGTAATGTACTAAGGTACCTACCTACTTTTAAGCTACAGTGCGAATCTGCGTGCCATGGTGTGTGGGCCGGGACGATCACCCCGGGCGGCCTGGAAGGATTGTTTGGGTGGTGCATGCCGGGTGCTTGGTGAGCTTGTTGAGCTGTGTTGGCGAGCCGCTCGGTGGTGGGCGCAGCTTTTGGTGGTGGCTTCTTGGCAGTTTGGTGTTCTTGGCTCAGCGGAACCCGGTGAGCCTATGAGTGCGAAGATGCACACGCAAAGACGCTGCATCGCTTCCTCGAGGGAGACGAGAAGGGAAAAGGGGCCAGAAGAAAGGAGGCCCCGGCGGCACCTACCGTAGGTTCCTTAGCCTTATGTGCCTTAGGGACCTGCCTTAGGGGCCTGAGGCGTGGGGCCCGCCGAACCTCGTCCCCTAGGCCGGCATCCGACCGCCCGATTCCGTGCTCCGCATGGTCTCTCTGGCGTACTGGCTCATACCATGCTTTTTCCTTTCGTGTATAAAATATTGGCAACGCAACTTCATTTTCGCCTTCTTGGCAATTTCTTGGCCCTGCAATGCTTCGCTGTCAAGTTGTTTTCACTTGCTTTTCAGCCGTGGAATGGTTGTTCAGCACTGCCTACCGCCCGCCAAAAGCAGTTGGACGCCTTCCGCCTGCGTCTCGTGCGAACATGTTTTGTGGTACAGACATGTTCCCCTTGCCATTCGAGCCGTGTTCCCCCACAACATGTCGCAGGCCCAGCTCAGCTGCACGGAGATGATTGACATGGGAAAAGGAAAGCAGAGACATGTCAGTTTAGCGAATCAAGACGTCATCTACCCATGATTTGTCACATTTGAGCTCACGGCCCGGGCAGCGGAAGAAGCCCTCATGGAAGACTGGCCGTCCCTGACGTCTCTCGACACATGTTATCCACCCTTTGTCATTGGCCATTCGTCCTTGGGCGGCCATTGGTCACAAATGCTATGGTCAGATGCCCAGCACGGCCCGCGTCGGCTTCTTCCACGCCGTTGTCCGACTCGGCACGAGCTAGGTAGCAGTCGGCGGTCACCGGCCAGCGGCACCAGCTGGCAGCCGGCAATGACAGCAGACAGCAGCTAGCAGCAGCAGCCAACAGTAGGCACCAGCTAGCACCAGCACCATCACAGCTTGGCCCAGACCCTGCGCCTTCTCCCGTCAGCCGGTGACATCTGGACCCGATAAAATTTCAATTCCGCCTTCGCAACACCACACCTCATCACCAACCCAAACCTCACGCGACCACGAACACGACATTGTCATCCCTAACTTCCTCCCCCTAATAGCACCATCCCCTTCCACATTCACCATGCTCCGCAAGGTCATCACCTCTGGCGCCCGCGCCACCCGCTCGGCCGCTCGTGCCCCCGCCGCGTCCCAGGCGCTCCTCCGCCCCCAATTCCAGCAGACCCAGACCTTCGCCCCGGCCTTCAGGTTACGCGCCGCCCAGCCCGCCGTGTCGCGATGGTACAGCTCCGAGCCCGACTCCAAGGCTGATGCCAAGGCCAAGGAGGGTGATGCCGCTGCCCCCGAGAGCGCCAACCCCGAGCTCGACGCCCTGAAGAAGCAGCTCGAGGCCAAGGAGAAAGAGGCCCTCGACTGGAAGGTGAGCATCCAATCCCAAAGCATACCCGGCCTCCCATGACAGCATGACGTCTCTAACAACTATCCCCCCTTCTTCCAGGACAAGTGCCTCCGCTCGGTCGCCGACTTCCGCAACCTCCAGGACCGCACGACCCGCGAGATGAAGTCGGCCCGCGACTTTGCCATCCAAAAGTTCGCCAAGGACCTCGTCGACTCGATCGACAACCTCGACCGCGCCCTCGGCATGGTGCCCGAGTCCAAGCTGTCGCCCGCCGCCGACGCCTCCGAGGCTGCCAAGGACCTCGCCAACCTGCACGAGGGCCTGCGCATGACCGAGACGGTCCTCATGAACACGCTCGAGAAGCACGGCCTCGAGCGCTTCAGCCCCGAGGGCGACAAGTTCAACCCCAACGAGCACGAGGCCACCTTCATGACGCCCCAGCCCGGCAAGGAGGACAACACCGTCTTCCACGTCCAGTCCAAGGGGTTCAAGCTCAACGGCCGCGTGCTGCGCGCTGCCAAGGTCGGCGTTGTCAAGAACCAATAAATGCCCAACCCTTTTGCCTCTTTGGAGATGCTTGATGCGCCTCCGCTGGCCGCGCAAGAGAGAGAGAGAGAGAGAGACAGAGAGAGAGAGGAACGAATAAGAGAGATGAGGGGCGACGCTGCTTGAGGCGGGTCGCCCGTGTATTACTACTGAAACCAACAACAACTGCAACACAACCGACTTTGACACGGAATGCGCCATCAGGCTTTTCGTGTCAATGTGTACAATGCTCCCCTCATGACGGAAGAAGAAAGAACAGTGGAAGACGAAGACGGACGGAAGACGCCGTGTTCAATGTCTAGTCAACTGGACAGGCCGGGAAAAATGTATCTACATAAACTGCATGTGTGACATGGCAAATAGGCATGGTCGGCGATGTATCAAGTATAGGACGGCCGAGAGTCGTCACGTCACTGGCGCGCAGCAAGCCCACGGGCAGTCAAGCGTTATACAAAATAATACTACATACTTGGACAGTCGCATCTGTTTCCCTGCGTGAAGAGTCGTGCTGTCCGCCATTGCGACGTTATACAAAATGATACTACATACTTGGACAGTCGCATCTGTTTCCCTGCTTGAAGAGTCGTGCTGTCCGCCATTTTGAAGTCCGCAAGAGGGTATCATCAGATGAATAGTGAAAAGGAGACCAACCAAGGAAAAAGGACAAGCAGCCAGGAGACAAGCAAAGAAAGGAAAAGTCCAAACGCCTCATGTTGCCCAATTTTCCATCCCCTGTATTCGTCGTCGCGCGCAAGGTCAGCAAAACAGAAAAAAAAAAGTAGCATCACTCCTCTGCCTCAGCATCACGCACCAACCGCTCCCAAACCTCCTCTCCAACCTCGGCCCTGACAGCCTCAATATCCTTCAAACCAGCCCTCTGGAGCTCCTTGTCGATGCCTTGCTGCACATCCCGGATATCCCGCTCAAGCCGATCATGAACGGCCCGTGTCTCCCCGAGCGTCTGGCTCCTCAGCTTGAGCTGATACTTGACATCCTTCAAATGGCCGCTCACCTGCCGCAGAATGCGCCTGTTCTGCCTCGCAAGCTTCGAGCTGGCCGCGGCCTCCCGCGCGGCGAGAATGACGTCGACGCCAGCTCGCACGCTGCGCAGCTGTGCGCGCGTGGCCGCGAGCTGCGGCGTGAGCTCGGCGTCGCACCGCCGCGCGAGCGTCTCCTCCTGCGCGCGCCAGAGGCCCACCGTCTGCCAGCGCTGGGCCACGACGCCCTCGGCCGCCGAGGCGGGGATGCCGGCAAGCGTCCGTGACTGCGGCGACGTCAGGGCTGCGGCGACCTCGGTTTGCGTGTAGGGTCTGTTTTCCGATGAAGCCGTGGGCGGTGTGCTCGCGGGAGGGGCCGCCGCTTCGACGGCGTCCTGGGCGTCAGCGTCGCTCTCGTCGGCATCCTGGGCGTCGCGGAGGCGTTTGGCCATGAGCGGATCCATGCGGTCGTACATGTTGGTCGACCAGTTGCGGATCTGTGCCTTTGGGTGGAGGCCCGGGGGCGTGTAGACGATGGACGGCTCCGAGGGTAGGCTGTACATCGGAGACAGTGCGTCGCCGTCCTCGATGTCCTTCTGCCAGGTGAAGTTGTGTGCCATGCGGTCGGGAGGCATCTGCAACTGCGATCCGCCAGGGGGTGTCTTGGGACGGAGTCTCTTTGTGTTCGGGGGCATCTGGATGAGTGTCTTGCCGGGTTCCTCCCAGCGAGTGCAGCCCTCGGCCAAGGCGCGGAACGTGCAGGGGGAGATGCGGCCATCGCGCGGGTCGCCCTCGTCATCAGAGATATCGTACTCCTCCTCAAAGTTTCTGTCAAAGCTCTCGGAGGCGATGCCGTGGATGGATGAGGCTAGGTGCGCGGGATATTTGAAGCCCTTGGGCGGATTGATGTGCTGATACTGTGGGCGCGGCACGCTGGCAACCTCCTGACGGGCGGCCTTGTCGATGGACGGCCGCTCCTGAAGGGTTTCTGCAATTTCGGCCGTGAATTTCTGCAGGCCTTGGACGTTGAAGTCGGGAGCCTGCTCCTTTTCCTTGCCTTCTGGCAATTTCTTCATGAGACCCTCTTGCAGCTTCACACCGACCCACGTACCCATGGGGTCACCCGCGGCCATCCGAGAGCCTCTCATAGCGTTGTAAGCTTGAAGAACGGGCCCTGTAAGTTTCCAGTTCTTGTTCGAGGTCTGGCCAGCGGTACAGCCGGGGATCTTGGGCGCCGCCTTCTCAGGGGCATGGTCAACGAGTGCACTGCCGTAGTCGCCCCAGTCGCGCGTGTTGAACGTGCAACCGCCCATAGCGACAGGAGCATCAGACTGGGTAGATTTCTTCATAAGGTCTAGAGCCGTCAATTCGTGTAACGACGCGTCCATATTGGAGCTTAACCTACATGCATCACGAGTTGGGCGCTCGGAGTAGCCCAAGCTGAGTTCCAGATGGGAATCCTGGTCGACACTACCACCTTCTGCAAAGTGTCAGAAAAGAAACGAACAAGCAAAGTCTCAGCACAGATGTCACTTACTGCTGGAAGTCTCATATTCCTGTAGGACATGTGCTGCGGGAGACTCGATGGCTTCGGGGAGCAAACCATTCTGCGTGTAAAGGGTGGCACTGTCACTGCCATCACTGGCTGCGGATCCTGCCCTTCTACCGACTTCGAATGCGTCGTCATCAGTACCTTCACTGCGGGAAAGAACCGCGAGCTGCTGCAGATGGTTGTAGAATGGGCTGAGCAGCCGATTTCGCTGGGCGGCAGCCTGCGCACCAGGCTGACCTCGCCGGAGCGCCTCAGGAGTAAAAGCATTGTCCACGACAGCGACTTTGAGACCTGCAACTCCATCAACTATGCCAGCCCCATGCGAGACAGCACTGGAGGAGGAGAACGGGTCCGAGAGGCCGTGATGGTTGCCGGGAGGGTACAATCCTTCGCCCAGCTCGCCAGCCTCGACCCATTCCTCGGGGTAAATGTTGTCGCCAAAGCCGTGAGGACCGCCTTGATTACGGGCAGACTTGGGTCCAGGGACGAGAAGAGGAGTGTCTACCGTCTGCTCGAACTGAAGATCTCCGTCCCGACGGACTAGATGTTGCTTGCCTGGAGACCACACAAAAGGCCCTTGACGGGTGGAGATGCTGGCAGGAGGTAGAAGACTCAGCTGAGGTAGGGCTACCTCGGCCGACGTTTTCCAGCTACTGAAATTGATGTTATCGCTCTGAGCCTCATTGTCAGGGACGTGTGTTGACATTCTTGAGCCTTCTTCCTCAGACGAAAGGATGCCATCGACAGTCAACGTCGAGCCGCTGGACGCGTTGCTTCGAGAACGACGGCGCTGGACGTCATCATTCGCATCAGTGTTGGAGATCATTTCAGAGTCTTGAATGCTGTGTTCCTCGTCGTTCCGTGACCCCTGTCGATCGAGAGTTTTCAAGGGTGGTGGGTAGATGCCATTTCCCATGCGGAGCGTGCTCGCGTCCGAGTTGCCTCGGCTGTGATCATGCGAAGCAGCCATCGGAGAATCTCTCTCGAGAATCTTTGGGGCAGTTCCGACACTGAGACGATGTTTCTCAGAAGCTGTGAGCTCGCTGTGGATAGCGAATCGGCCGCGACGACCTTTGGTAGGCGTCTGGTTAGGCCCTGAAGCACGCCGCGAAGCACGGGAGGAGTGCGCATCTCGCGGCGCAGGAAGATCGAGCACAAAAGTCGAAGACTTTGGAAGCGAAGACTCAAGCCGACGAGGGATATCCGTGGCAAAGTCATCGTCATCACCATAAAAGCTGAATCGTCCGGCGTACCGACGCTGGACGATGCGGCCTGATGGACTGGCCTGCTGTTGGTTGCGCGCGCGCTGCAAGTTCCCGGCGCGGAGCGCGTCGAGAGCGCCGTTTCCAGTTTCGACAAAAACATCATCTTCGTCGGAGGGAAATGTTTCGAAAAATGGGCTTTTGCTGTTGTTCCAGCCCCTCTTGCCGCGTGCTTGCCGACCCGACGACTTTTCAACGTCTGACGAGACTTCCTCTATCATGGAGAGATCATGAGCAGCGTGAGATCCTTCCTCCCCATTTTGCGTCAAAGTGCTTTCTATTTCGTAGCATTAGCTAGATGACACGCCAAACACCCTTGGTCGACCTCAGATCCAGCATACCTTCATCGCGATAGGGGTGTGAGTCCACGCCCTCTTGCTCCAGGTCGTTGTGCATGACCCAGCGTTGGCAGACGATCTGCCTGTTGCTGAGAACCTTGATTATTCTGATCTTTCTCTTCTTTCCTGTTTGCCTGCGGAATCTGATGCTTCTGCAGCAGTTTGACACTTTGCTAGTTGAGTCTTGAGGGGATCGTCAGTTGAGGCCTAGCGTGGGAAGGAACAGCTGCTGTCGATGGAGAACAACGAGAGATCGCGGGATATAGCCTTGCCTCTGAACGGATTCTTTTTAAACAGGACCCGCGCGCCGACTAAGCGGTGCCTATCGCCATGGCACCGTCGCCCACAGGGGTCGGCGTTGAAGCCAAAGAGTTTCTACCGACCGTCAGCGGTTGGCGAGAACTTGCGTGCGCGTCTTGGACCTACTAGCACACTAGGAGACCCAAGCATGTAAGCTTTCGTTGCTTCCGCCTTGAACTGGCGACTCACATGTTGGGTCCCATTGTTCGTGAAAGCAAAATGGGCAGAATATCCCCGGTTGGTGATAGCTTCAATGCCACATGCCTTACCTAGAAGAAGAGCTTTGGCAGTGCCTTCTGCCCAATAGTACCATTATCACAGCGCACGGACTCTTGAAACCAGGCATACCGTTGATGGACGGCAGGTGCGATGTCAGCAATGAACTTCTCTCCTGATCATGAAAACTCAGGCAAACTGCTCGAGCAAACCCAGCGTACATGCTGTGACGAGGCCGTCTTGCGATTCAGATCAGCATCCATCGGTCTACAAGACATGACAAGTGGAGCAAGCAGATACGTGATCGAAAGCAAAGGTAACTGTCAAAGCCACTTCCCAATGTCCAATGCCGTCTGACCATTGACAACCCTATTATTCACATGCCCAGTGTGACGAGTGATGGGCCATTATTCGTGGTGCTACAACAAACCTATCGTCTGCCTCTTGCAAGCAATTACAGATTGGGATGTAGATATAACAAGAGTGACAGCTTCAAACCAAGGCACCTTGCCTATCATCCTCGCCCATGAACCCAATACAGTATCATGCACACCGCTCAGACGCCAAGGAGGCCTTCGTGGCGTCCCCCTTCAATACCCGGATTCATTCTTCACTTCTTGGCCTTGCCCTTCGCCGCAGGGGCCTTTGCGCGGCCTTTCTTGGGCTTGGCATCGCTCTCATTTCCGTCCTCCGCTTTCTTTGTTGCCTTTGCCTTGGCCCCCTTTACGGGCTTCTTCTTGGCTGCTTTGACGTACTTGTCCGTCTTCAGGTCGAGCTTGTCCTCATCAACAGCCTCCTCCGGCTCAGCTTCGCCCTCATCTTCCTCCTCGATAGCTTCTTCGAGGTCAGGAGCGTCCTTGGCCTTCTTCATCGGTGCTTGAACATTGCCCGATTTCATGAAAGGAACAGGGTGGGACATTTGATTGTACCTATATGAAGCATGTCAGTGTGATGAGTCTGGGTCATGAAGAGATGTGATACATACGTCCTTGTGAAGTGTGCCTTTGTCTGCGTTTCGAGTTTGATGCGAGACTCATCCTGCGGTCCCACACCTAACTCCTTCATCGCATCAAAGTCATCGCGAGTCAAGTAGTAGCTGTCCATAAGATCGATAATGTCCGACACACTCTCCTTGCCCTCAATATCAAGGCGGCGGATTATCCGTTCCCACAGGACAGGAAGGTATTGCTGGCGAATCTCATTCGCGTCACCAGAGGACCTCAGTCGCATATGAGCATGAATCTCACGGATGAATCGGTTGAGCTTGCCTGTCTTGCTGTTGTTGCCAAGCCACGAGGTAAAGTTGGATCCCATGAGTTGGCCGGCGATGAAACTGGCAGGGCGTACGGTACTGAAGATGGCATGCGTTGGCATGAGACTCCACTGTTGCTGCGGTCCGTGGATCATGCGATCGACGAGATCACCGTCACTGATACTCTCTGCCGCTTGATCAAAAAGTTCGAGCGCCTTGAGGTTCTCCTCCCTTTTGTTGTAGCCTCTGTTGTTCAACGCCATTGGCTTACATCGAAGATAGTTTTCCTGGATCATCAGGTAGCTGAACTCATGATCGTTGAAGTAGAGCTCAATCTTGTCATTGAGCGTGGCATTGCTAGAAGGCGCGAAGAGGCCGCCTCCGAGCATCTTCTGGCAAATGTCCCAGGGCTTCAGAACGACATGCTTCTCCCAAGCCTTGGTCATGGCCTTGCCTTGGTCGAAATCCATGGCTGACTGGTCGAGTTTTGCTGTCGAAATCATGTTGATGATTTGACGAATATCCTTGTTGCTGCCTTCGATCAACGCATCGACCACTGGAGGGGGAAGCTTTAGTCCCTCCCTGTGGCAGATGGTCATGATACGAGATCGAACCTGATCGACTGTCGGTCGTCGGAACTGGATGTCCATGGCAACATGATCGAAGGGCTTCATCTTGGGCAAACGACGCTCGTTGCAGATGAGAATCAGAGGCACTTCTGTCTTTTTGCAGTACTTGGCCAGAGCTCCGACACCGCCGCGATCACCGGCCGACATGCCGTCAACCTCGTCCATAATCAGGACTATGTTCTTCTTGCCGGCATCTAGCTTCTTTCCGTCGCCAGAGAAGAAGCCGAGTAGCGAGGTGTTGTTCATGACTTCGCTGACACCTTCCTCCACCAGCCTCTTGCTTCTGGTGTCGCTTGCGTTGCTCTCAATGACGTCGAACCCTTCCAGCTTGGCTGCGAGGTGTGCTGCTGTGGTCTTGCCGATACCCGGGGGGCCGGATATGATGATGGCTCGCTCCGCACCCATGCCGTCGGCCCCCCGTTTTTGGAAGTCCCATTTGCGGCTCTTTTGCCAATTTTTGAGCCAATTCTGGATCTTCTCAACCTGTGCCTTGTTGCCACAGATATGGCTGAGCTGCGTGGGTGCATATTTTGACGTCCAGAGCTGGGCCACAGGGGCTGCTGGCTTGACAGGTGCGGCCGAACCACGGGCTGCGGCAGCCTTTTGAGCGGCCTTTTCAGCCTCGAGCTTTCGGGCCTTCTCTTCACGTTCCATCTCTCGAGCGTCGATTTTGATTTTCTCCTCGGCCTGCTTCTTCTTCTCCCGTGCCTTCTCTGCTCCTTTGCCGCCGCCTCCATATGCAGGAAGGCGTTTGATGAGCTCGAAAAGACCGTTTTCATCGATTGTCTTGATGCCGAGATCTTGTATCTTCTTGAGTTTGCTAGGGCCGGCATCTTCTCCAAGCACGACGTAACTCGTCTTGCTGCTCGGTGAACCCGTGACCTTTCCGCCATACCTCTTGACAAGAGCCTGTGCCTCTTCGCGACCGATGGTTTGAAGAACACCAGTGAAGACGAAGGCGAGGCCAGTAAGACATTCATCCTCGCCCTCTGGTAACTCGGCGCTTCCAGGGTTCAAGGGCGGTGCAGCGCCGTTGCCTCCAGTCTTGCTTGCCGTCCTCCAGTCGAACTTGGCATCGGGGTCTCTCGCAGGGGGCGTTGGCGCCCTGACTGTGGGGATGTCATCAAGGATGGCCTGGTAAGAGGCATCTTCGGCCTCAGCAGGCTTTTTCGCCTTGGGAGCGCGCGGTTTGGCGGGCGCTTGCTTCTTGCGGGGCTTCTCCTCCTCGGGCTCAGACTCGGTCTCGGGCGATTTCCTCTTCTTACTCGCCGCAGGCTTGCTCTTGGGTGCCGTCGTTTCGGAAGTGATGTTCCGGGCAGCTGCTCGCTTCGGCTTCGGCAGAATGTCCTCGTCGCTTTCATCCTCGGCATAGTCGTCGTTCTTGCGCTTGCCTCGTCCTTTGGTATCGGCTGCAAAAATATCATCGTCGTCTTCGTCTGCGCCATCATCTCGGTAGGCATCGCCGTCATCGTCATCATCGTGGGCCTGATATGCCGTCACGCTCCGCTTCTTCGTGGCTGCTCGACTCTTGGCCGGTGATGGCACGGCTGCCGGCTTGGGCGCGGGTTTTGACGCGGCTTGTTTGTTCCTGGGACTTGTCCGAATCTCGACTTCGGCCTTCACCTTCTTCACAGGTGAAACAGGTGCCTTGTTCGCTTTGCTGTTGGAAGATGCGAAATAGTCGCTCGCAGAAATCATCACATCGTTGGTTTCCTCCTTCGCTTTCTTTTTCGGGGTAGCTTTCTTGGGCTTGTCTCTAAAGACTGCGTCAGCAACGGCGAACACGCGGCAGATTGAAGAACACCATACTCAATCACAGCAACATCATCTTCGTCACTGTCCTCGACGACCTTGCGGCCCCGGCGGCCCTTGGCTGGTGGTTCGGCTTTTTTGGGTGCGGGCTGTGGCTTCGGAGGGGGTGCACCCCCCTTGGGCCCGAAGAAGGACCTGATGTCAGGCATGTCGACTTGAACAGAAGGAGCGGACGATTGAAAAACAATTCCGAAACAATGGAAACAAATCTCGAAGGCCTGTCCTGCTTATAACAGCCGCCGAGCTTGCTGCCTAAAATCGATGCGATGAGAGTGACTGGGTGGTGGGTAGGTTGCCTGGAGGGATGCGCTTCGACGTGAACCCTGAAGCTTTGGAAATCGTGACGCGAAGAGCACGCGCTTGCTGAGCGACCGGGGTAGGTGCGTTAAAGTGTGGCTTGGGCAGTGGGTCCTGTCGTCAATTTGTGGTCGCCCGGACTTTCAGGCACCGAATCCGCCCGCATCAGCCACATGCCCATCCCGGTACAGCTTCAAAAAATCACAACGTCCATCTAGCCCATGATCGACACGGGACATCCAGAGTGCCGCCCACAACCGCAACGATGCGATCCTCGACGCTGCTCGACGCCTTCCGTGGCCTCCAAGTCTCGGCCACCTCCGCAGCGAGGACGCTTGCCACCCCAGTCCGACCTCAATTGGCGCGATCGGCCGTCGCCGCTGCGCTGCGCGATGTCCGCCCTTTCTCGTCAACACCAGCCCGCGAGGGCAACTGGCTCGAACCCTCGATCGACCGAACGAAGAAGATGATGAAGGGCAGGCCGCGCGTCGCGACGGGAGGCTCTGTAAAGGGCACGACGGTCATGTGGGGTGACTATGGGCTGCGCATGAAGGATCACCACCGCCGCATCAGCGCCAAGCAGCTCAAGAACGCCGAAGACACCATCAAAACGAGACTCCGTGGAACAAAGTACCGACTGTACAAGAGGGTGGCATGCAATGTGGGCGTTTACGTCTCCGGTAACGAGGTAAGCGGGCTCAGAGAGGTTGTCGAAGAGGGCCCAGCATGCTTACAAGACCACAGATTCGTATGGGTAAGGGTAAGGGTGGCTTCGACCATTGGGCCGCGCGTGTTGCTGTCAACCAAGTTGTGTTCGAGGTCAAGGGACTCGTTCACGAGGCTGTCGTCAAGGATGCTTTCCGCCTGGCCGGCAACAAGCTCCCTGGTATGTGCGGACCGACGCTGAACGTGTGATTATGTGCTAATGAAGACGCCAGGCCAATGGGAGTTCGTGCAGAAGGGAGAACCCCCCGTCGTCGGCATCACCAAGCTGGACGGTGTGACTCTGGAGGAGCTGAAGCGACCGAGGAAAAAGATCGAACCTGAGCAGCTGTTGCAACAGGCACAGGCTGCTCAAACGCCTAGCGAGACTGCGGCTGCGGCCCCCTCGGCGCCGGCGTCGTAGAGATCAAGCTGTATGGGACAATCGCGACTGTATTATAGCGTACCATGCCAGGCATAGTACCAGGCATGCCAGATAAAGTGGGATGGGAGCAGATGTCTGTATGATATGAACGGGCCTGGAAGCTTGCTTCGCCGTATGAGCTCTCAAGTCCTAAAAATGTATTCTGAATACTTGTTGTGGCTTATCGAGAGAAGTATGACCGACGAAATGGCTACCAACGTTCCTTCTCGGCCCTGTACCTCAAGGGGACAACAGCGAGAGCTCCTCACACCGTATGGCAGCACGAGCCACTTTTCAGCCACAGGCTACATGAACCCCTGTTCACACCTGCATCGCACTTAACGCGTACTGTCGCGTCACCCAGGCTACATCCATCTTCAACCCCATCTGTAGGCAAAAACCCAGGCAACCGCTGTGACCCGATCAACCACAAGCACACAGCTCTGCCCGCGTCTCGCCACATACCAACGCCATGGCGCTCATTGTCGACAAGCACAGGCCAAAGTCTTTGGACGCCCTCACCTACCACCCAGAGCTGTCCGACAGGTTAAGCTCCCTCGTACGCAAAAATCCACCCCGTCACGATCCCCCCCCCCCAAACTGACCGTCCCTCGCCATCCAGGCTCGAAGCGGCGACTTCCCCCACCTCCTCGTCTACGGCCCCTCGGGTGCGGGCAAGAAGACGCGCATCGTAGCGACGCTGAAGGAGCTCTACGGGTCCGGCGTCGAGAAGATCAAGATCGACGCCCGCGTCTTCCAGACGTCGAGCAACCGCAAGCTCGAGTTCAACATTGTCGCGTCCAACTACCACCTCGAGATCACGCCCTCGGACGTCGGCAACTATGACCGCGTCGTGGTGCAGGACCTGCTGAAGGAGGTGGCGCAGACGCAGCAGGTCGACCAGGCGGCGCGGCAGCGCTTCAAGGTCGTCGTCATCAACGAGGCCGACCACCTGACGCGCGACGCGCAGGCGGCGCTCCGTCGCACGATGGAGAAGTACTCGCCCAACCTGCGCCTCATCCTCCTCGCCAACTCGACGGCCAATATCATCGCGCCCATCCGCTCGCGAACACTGCTCGTGCGCGTGGCGGCGCCGACGCACGCGGAGATCTGCGACGTGCTGGGCCAGAGCGCCGAGAGGGAGGGCTGGCCTGTGGCCAAGGGGCTGCACATGAGGATAGCGCAGGAGAGCGGGAGGAATCTGCGGCGGGCGCTGCTCATGTACGAGGCTGTGCATGCGCAAAAGTAGGTCCCCCCCCCTCTCTTTATGAACCGGCTCTGCTTGAGGCAGCTTGCTAACGGCATGGCAGTGAGAAAGTGACAGACTCGACGCGGATCCCACCACCCGACTGGGAGGCCCTCATTGGGCAAATCGCAAAGGAGATCATGGAGGAGCACACGCCGGCGCGCATTCTGCAGGTGCGCGCCAAGCTGTACGACCTGCTGACGCACTGCATCCCGGCGACGACGATTCTCAAGACGCTCACATTCAAGCTGGTGGCGATGATCGACGACGCGCTCAAGCCCGAGGTCATCAAGTGGTCGGCGTACTACGAGCACAGGATCCGGATGGGCACCAAGGTCATCTTCCACCTCGAGGCATTTGTGGCCAAGTTTATGAGGATCATCGAGATATACCTGATGAGCATGGATCTGTAATTTATTGTGTGCCGGGGTTGAGAAAAGAAGGGGGAGGGGGGCAGGGCGTCTCTGGCGTTTTCGGGATCACATAGGGTTGAAGGGATTATTTCGGGCGCCTTGTCCTCCTACCGAGGAAGGAAATTGACAAACATGTTTCAATGGCCCAATCCGAAGTGCGCCAGGTACAGGACAGCTGTGAGCCAGCATTGGAAATCTGAACTTGGTGCATGGCGAACCCTGTGTTCGGAGCCGTCGGAACCCAAAAGTTGAACCCGTGATACAGAAGTCAGGAGGCCAGACAGGCGATTGGGATGAGCGCAATCGATAAGCACGCAACTTGTAGTTCCATTCGTCCAGGCAGACCGATGCCGACAGACAGCTCTGCGGATGGAGGGACCTCGAAAAGTGGCAGACTCGGCCGGGTAGACACGGTGTGAGTTGCACATTGATTCCAAATGGGGGGGTGCAAAGTCATGCTTTTTGAGGTGTCAAACCAACTTGGAGCTCGCACCTATTGATCAAACTCACACTGCCGAGTTATGAGGACCACTGCTCCCAGGCATTGTGGGACGCTGGAAAAGTTCGCCGGCGGCGATGTGGTAATTCAGACTGTGGTCAGTATTGGCGGTTAGAGGACGGCGCATTGTACCCGAGGTGTCAGACTCAAGAGATGCCACTTTCGGTGAGACTCATTCCGGCCGGTCATCCTAGGGCGAGAGGTCCGAACAGCCTCATCTTTTCCCTTTCGCAAGGTGCAGCACATGGGTTATCTGCTTGGCTGCATGAGCTGTCGGGCGCTCTGTATTGCTGGCACGGAAATAAACGAAGGATGGGTGCGGGTAGGGAACAATGGCACGCGGCTGATGCCCGGCGTCGACCACGGAAGCGAACCCACGGAAGGCCGAGGAAGTTAGGTCATGGCGATGTCATGATGCGCGGTCGAGGCCCGAGGTAAGAGGAGAGTGAGCATGGATAAGCCATCTCGATTCGGGACTGATGGCGTAGCAGCTAAGGGATTTAGGGTGCAGTAGATGAAATTGTGAACACAATGCGAGCCGTCTGGTTCGCTGAGAGGCCCCCTACGCCTCGGAGGGGAGGGTCACATATTGTCCATGCCTAGGAATTGTACATCGCAAAACAGTGAGGGACAACTGATGATAGATGCCCATGAGGATGCGGGGAAGGGGGTGTTCGCGCCAGTGCGTCCATGGACACCCGCTCTTGCACCTCCATCAACCCCCCACCACGGCAACACGTAGAGCCAGTGGAACGGAGGGGCATTCTGTCTTGGCCATCCAGATGCACACGGCGGCGAGATGTGCCATGTTGCAGTTCTGACCTCATAGCATGCTGGCGAGACTGGGCGTGAGGTTCCCTTAACAGCCGCCCTCACTTGTGAGCTGCTGGATGAGGTCGATAATCTGGACCTCTTCAGCCTGTCCAGGCATTGAGAATGGTGGACTTTGGGCGTCTGACGTATGTGATGAGGTCAGCCAGGAGGGGTTCAAGTACCCCGCCATTGGCATTGGAGGGGGGCACCGTACCTGAGGCGCTCGAGGGCCATGACATCGGTCGGTACTTGGCGACCCTTGAGCCTCTTTTCCTTTCAAGGGGCCTCTCTCTACAACCCAAACCCACGGAGCCCTGGAGGCCCAGGTGTGACACAGGAGCCAAGATGTCGGTATTTGATAAAAGGAAAAATGCGGCAGACAGGCCAAGCAAGCATGCCCTCTTCTCTCTTTAGTGCAGAGGAAGGGCGAAGGGACGATCCGGGCAGCACGACCATGCACGTTACGAAAGAGGTTTGCGCCGATCAGAGGCGTGGGGAGACACTAAGGCCAAGCCTCATCAGAAGACCATCCCCCCCCCCCCCAAAAAAGCCAAAAGCCAAAGGTCTTGACCTTCGTCACCGGCCGGCCGGGAAGGGCTAAGATGGGCGGAAAGTCAGAGGGTGAGGCGAGTGAGGTGCGCTCCAGGGATGCAACTGCTGGTGAGCATGTGCCGTAGTACTTCGTCGCGCGCGGACTGCATCCGAAGACGCAAAGGCAACCCGTCGCATCCGTGTGTTGTCCAGACAGGTGCCTGTTGTCCAGACAGGTGCCCTTCTCTCTTCGTGTCAGCATCAGGCCGCCGCCTGGCGGCAATACCATGATGTAGAAGAACGGCAAAATCGGCAAGTGGACAGCGGACTCTGGAGACGGGAAAATGCAAAACGAGGAGGCGAAGCAGTGAGCTCTTTCTTCGAGCTCCTCTTTTTTGGCGCCAAATGGCCCGGTCGTCCGGGGGAAGGGAAAAGGCTCCCCACGGCCACGACCCCGACCCCGGCCTAACGGTAAAACACCAAGACAGCTTAACGCAGGGCCCCCAGTGATCACCTACTACCCTCTCCGCTTCGTGGCACACAGCAAAGCAGAGGAGCCCCCTCCCTCCCCCGTCCCGTCCCAACACACTCCCGATCCGTGGCCCGCCCGTCCCTTACTCCATCGTCGCCTCCTACGCAATGTCCCGCCAGCCATTGGAACCCTTTCAAGGAGGGGGGGGGAAAGAACCTGACCCATAAAGGGCCCTTCCCCGCAAACGTCGTTCACGTCGCGACATTTACCTTTCTCTTTTGCACTCTCTTCTTCCTCCTCTCACCTCGACATTGTCCCTCTCTTCCAAGCGCTCCGCTTCAGTCTCTTGTTTCGTTGCGCCATACCAATCTACCGCGTCCACCCCCCATTGACCCCTGCCGAACCCTTGACCGGAACGTCACATCTACCTACTCACGACGACCTTGACGGCCAGGTTCGCTCGAGCGCACTGCTCCTTGCGTGCTGAGAACAGCGACAGACGGGACAAGACCCCCCTCGTCGACACGTTCGGATACCATCATCCTACCTATTTCCGCACGCGGCAAACCTGCAGACCTACAACACCACTCTCCATCGCAACAACAAGCCAGACCGTCGCCCAGCATGGCCGAAGGCGAGCAACAAAAGACACCAGTGGTGGCCGAGGCCCACAATGTCGACACCTTCCGTAAGCCCGAAAATGCCACCCCCCCTTGTCTCGTGGTGACTTGCCCCTCTCGAGCTGTCCCGCTTCTGGAGGCGGCGCGCGACAGGGCAGGCTACCGTGACGCGCCCCTCCTGAATTAGCCGCGAAATGGGAGGATGCCATGCTGACCAGCGGCGGTAAATGTGCGCATTAGACCCTCCTCAGAAGATGCTTGACAGTACGTCCCACTCCTTCTCCTTTTTTTTTTCCTTTGTGTGTGAGGTGCTGAGATGGAGACCTCATGCCTCCCCAAAGTCGCGTGCGCCGATACCGCTATCGTCTATCGTCCAGCTTTGTCCTGCTGCGACCTCAATGTGGTC